GATGATTGTTTAGGCCACCGTATTACAGCACGAAACAAGTGCACAGCTCGTGTATGAAGAGCGGGGCCTTTGCCAGCTTCTCCACGTGCTCTGCCAAAGCCTCGTCCAGGGTGCAAGCGCCCGAGCAGTCGATGCACTGCCACCGGAGCCGCGACCTCATCGAGAAGGCTTCTGGGCTCCAGCTCGTCATGGACTTGGCCCACGAGGGTAAGCGGGCGAACAGCTGCTTCTGCAGCGCTGGGCTCGTCTGGTCACACGTGCCCATAAGGTCCACAACGATCACTTCCGGAGACCAGAACCCGAGGCCCCAGGCTGCAAGCCCCACTGTTGGGATTTCATGGGTGGACAGCACGGACTGCGACAAGTTCCGCTCGCCGGTGATCTGCTTGTTGACCAGTGCAAGGACCGTTCCCTGTGCCTTGTCGCGCATCCCGAGCACGAAGCTCATGCTTGCGATTGACCACATGTTGGCTGCAAGCGCATTGGTCTGGGGGTCCTTGTAGCAGGCGTCGAGGTCCTGGCTCGCCTCGATGGCTTGGCCCAAGAAGCTGTCCGGGTGGACGGTCGCGTGATCTATGGCCTTGGCAAAGCTGAAGAGCTTTGCCTTTGTCGTGCGATTCTCGGGGTCCCCATCCCAGAAGCCGGCCCAAAGCAATGCATGATGACGAGTCTCAGTCAGCTTCACCAGCCAGCTCCTCACAAAGGATAGTGCTTGATAGCGACGGAGCGTTTCACCGGCCACATCCAAGGATGCTAAAGCATCTCTGGAGACGCGGAGGGTCTCCACCAATTTGCTTCCTAACGCGAAGATGTCGCTGACGCTGTCAGCACACGTCTTGTTCGGAAGGACGTAGGAGTCCGGAAGGCAGTCGAGAAGCCAGTCGGCTTCCGGCTGCAAGTCTTCACAAGAAAGGGTGAGATTGTTTATCACCCGGCCGAGCTGCTGATGGCAAACACTGGCGCTGGCGCTCTGCCAGTCCTTCCTGATGATGGCAACCTGCTCCCGGAGAGTCCGCTCCTGTGCCTCCGCATCGCGGCGCGCCTCGGCTGTGTTGGCCTGCGTGGTCACATCTGTACTGTCCGTCAGGATGGCTCTCAGGCTCTGCTGAAGTTTCTCGGGGGAGCTTGCTGAGTGCTCGTGCCACCAGACCGGATGGTTCTCCGACCTGACCCCCACTACGACATGGAGCGCAGTTGCAAAGGCCGCGAGCGCCAGCGAGATGAAGCGCACCATCACGCCATGATCGTATATGGAACTATGGATACGCCAAGCAGTGAGTTGGTTGCTGGAGAGCACTGCACGCGGCTCTGCGGGACATGCAGCTGAAGCGCTTGATGGCAATTAGGAGCATCATGCGATGACAGCGAACAGCTGTGGTCTTAAGTACCCTGAACCCCAAAAACAATCCTTGCAGAACCCTCACAGAACTCTTGAGAGAATTCTTAGCAAGCCAAAGACAGCCGAAAGCATAAGCTCGAATCACGAGGTCGGCACGCGGATCTGGAACGGATTCCGCTGCACAGTGTGGGGTTTGGGCTTGCCGGCTTAGACCCGAACTCCACACCCTCAATCCGAAACCTGCCAACACTGAAGCCCTCAACACTCAAACCTGTAGCCCCAAACCCCGCAGAAGTGTAGGTTCTGAGCCATGATAACTTTGTGGGGTATAAACCCTGGAAACAGTAGGGCTTTTGCATGCATCCCCAGGTGACTTCTGCAGCCCTTTGAGCAAAACAAACCAAACCCTAAAAACAATTCTTATGCAGAACCCTCACAGAACTCTTGCAAAAGTCACTGCAAAAAACCGAAAAAGAGGAAGGCAGCCAAAATAATGAACTCGAAACATGAGGTCGGCACGTGGATCCGGAACGGATTCCGCTGCGCCGGACCGGGAATCTCCACCTTCGGGTGCTTCGGGGTTAGGGTTTAGGGTTTAGGGTTTAGGGTTTACGGTTTAGGGTTTAGGGTTTAGGGTTTAGGGTTTGGGGTGGTGTTCCGGATTCATAGAGTTGTTGTGGCTTTAATAGGGGGGTTTCATGGGGCGCTTTAGGGTTCGCGGTTTAATCCCTTCCCCCTGTTAGTAAACACCCCCCCTGATAGTAAAAACACATTCCGGCAAATCCTCCCAAAATCATCTCTGCCTTTTCAAACCTATTCTGAATCAGGGGGAGGGTTTCGAGGCTCCAAATACCCGTAAAGCACGGCAAGAGCCAGAGCAAGAGCAGCAAGAGCAAAAGCGGGAGCATCAGCAACAGCGGCAGCACGAGCAAAGCAAAGCAAGAGCGGGAGTAAAAGTAATTAAGAGCAGGAGCAGGAGCCAAAGCGGGAGCAACGGCAAGAGCAGGGAGCAGGGGCAAGAGACGCAGCAGAAGCAGGAGCAAAAGCCAGCACGGGAGCAAGAGCCGGAGCAAGAGCACGTGCCCTCAAAAGTGGCAGTAGAGATAGAAATACCCCTAATAATGAAGAATAATGAAGACACTTTCCGAGTGTCTATTTGGGGGGCCCCCTCGTTTAATATTATAGGGAAGGGATTAGGTTGTTCCACAAGGGGTTTTGTACGGTTTGATTGAGAACTTCATGGGGTTGCTGCGGTTTTCTACAGGCTCTTACAGGGTTGAACATACAACCACATGGAGAACATATGATGTAATCTTGAGCCAAGTAATTATGGAGGCCAATGGGATGGGATCTGAAGTTCTCTCGAACTCGGACTTCGTCTCCTTCATCAGCGCTTTCACGTGGTAATTAGAGACAGACGGAGAGATGGAGAGGGCTGTTTCCTACATGTACCATGCAAGCTTGCCCTTCAGTGAACACTCGTGTCAACAAGCGGATAGACGTCCGCGACGCTCCCTGTGGCCGCCTCGCCGGGCTCACTGCTCAACTTTCCCGGAGCACAAAAGGCGACGAACTGCCGAGATGGACGACGAACTCTCCCGATGAGCCGAGCCCCAGTGAATTGTGCAGCTTTGCCACATGCGCCAGTCTTCATAGTGAGTTTGGGAGGCAAGAGTCTCACCTTCCAGGCCGCTCTGACTAGCAACTGGCCAGCTCCAATCTCCCCAAAAGTGCACACCGCATTTCTGCGCAGGCAGGTCTTGGCTCCGATGCAACGGCAGATTGCACGCACACACGGAGGTGCACGGAATTATGCTAGGGCTCCAGCCTTCCTCGCAGCTTTCATGAGGGCCGTGTTGCCATAGTAGTCTATGTCATCGCGGGCCTCCCGCTGGGCCCCGGCCTTCACCAAGGCCTCGACCACATTCAAGTGGCCAAACCATGACGCGGCTGTGAGGGCCGTGTTGCCAGTCCCATCGCGGGCCTCCAGCTGGGCCCCGGCCTTCACCAAGGCCTCGACCACCTTCAAGTGGCCCTTGAATGACGCGCGAAGGAGGGCCGTGCGGCCATCCCTATCGCGGGCCTCCAGCTGGGCTCCAGCCTTCACCAAGGCCTCGACCACCTCCTGCAGCCCCTCTGCCGCGGCGCTTATGAGGGCCGTGCCGCCGCGCGGGTTCAAAGCCTTCGGATCGGCATTCTGGCGGAGGAGTTGCTCCACCTCAAGCTGTCTCTGCCCTGCCTTGGAGCGCTTGAAGCCCTTTTGCAAGTCCCACAGGCTGCCCAGGCCCTGCCACTGAAACGGGTTTAGGGTTTAGGGTTCTTCAAGTGCCTACGCTTGTTCCACTGATGAAGAAGTTGCGGGTTTTTGTCGTACTGCTTCTGAAGCCCAGCAAATCCAACAGACGATGCTCTAACGAAAGCTCTGTGTGCTGAGCGGCGTAACCGAGGACGACCTGGCAGGGAACGTGTCCACCCTACAGGTTTATAGGGTTTTGGGTGTATAACAAGTTCAGGGGTCTAGGGCTTACATAGGGCTTACATAGGGCTTATAGGGTTTGGGGCTTTAGGCTCTTGGGGGTTAGGATTCAGCTAGGGTCTACTCGCACTGGGATTCTGGCGCCCACCTCACATAGCTCTTGGTCCTTCAGGTCCTGCTCCGCTTTGGCCTCCGCGAGAGACACTGGGGCTCTGTAATTGGAGTAGGGTTCCTTCAAGAGGCTGTCTTAATGGGTACCATAGTGGTAACTATAAGGGCTTAGTATGAGGACACGCATTAAAAGGAACGTCAAAAACCTCATATAAGGGCCTGAAAATGCAATTGGAACAGGGTTTGGGGATGTGAAGCAAAGAGAAGCAGAGTGGGTTTGGGGACACATGATGGATGATACAATCAAAAATAACAAGGAGCCCTATAGAATAATGTTGATAGTTGTTTAGGCCACCATATTACGGCACGAAACAAGTGCACAGCTCGTCTATGAAGAGCGGGGCCTTCACCAGCTTCTCAACGTGCTCTGCCAAAGCCTCGTCCAGGCTGCAAGCGCCCGAGCAGTCGATGCA